TAGTTTGCAATATAGAAGCTCAATATATTAACAAAATGAATTAGATAAGTCAATATTCTATTATATATATGGAGTACTTGTCTATATATGTAAACTAACTTTAATTTATTTAAACTAAAATAACTTATTTTTCGCGTTAAGTAACTTAGGGCCTCTTTAGTTCTAATTGACTGAAAGCTGAATTGAACTGAACTTATTGGAGCTGAACTGAACTAAACTGAATTGAATTGAACTGAATATTTTATGAGAAAAAGAAATTAAGATAAGAAATGAAATGAATTGAACTTATTGGAGCTAAACTGAACTAGGTCTGTTCACATTTTGAACTGAACCAAATGGATTGGAGTTGAACTGAACTGAATTTAGTAGAACTGAAATGAATATTTTATGAGAGAAGGAAATTAGAAGCGGAACTGAACTTAACTAATTGGAGCTGAAATGAAGTGAACATGCCCTTACCCTTATTATGACTTTTTTTTTGTGCGTAGGGGGGGTGTTTGGTTTAAAATTTGAAAAGCAAAACAAAATCATTAATTAATTGAAAAAATATGTCAAATCAAACTGCTAATAAATTAAAATCGGTTTAGTTTTCGATTTGGTTGATACACATACAATCATTGTATATTGTTCCTACATACAACACCATTAGAAATTTGACACATCATCAAAAAAGGGGAGAAAATTAGAAGTCAAATATAAATTGAATTCTAATGGAACATGGGCCCATTATTGTAGCCAATAAAAACATGACAAAGTAAGGTTGTATGTAGGGACCATATAACAATTGTATGTGTAGTCTTTTGCGATTTTGTGCGATCTTCAACATAGTTTAAAGTAAGAACACCTCTAAATTCCTGGTACATACATGGAAAAAACTTAGAAGTTGGCAAAGGCATGCAATATTTAATGGAATTTCTACCCAGATACTTGTATTATAAATGATGGACCGACCTTTATCTTTTGTTCATAAATATTTTCAACTACAAAATAAATGAATGTTGTTATACATTGATAGTAGATAAAAATACGTTTCATTCAATAAGAAATGCCCTCAATTTTAGGCAATGTGGGAAGTTTTAAGATCTTGATATTGGCATGTTCTAGCTATATGAATGATAGCTACTATGAACTTGCTACGTAGTGTACTTTCTTTTTCTTTTTCTTTGCTTTGGTTTGCTTTTTCAAGTTTCATACTTCGTATTTTTTAGGGTGGTGAAGGAATAAATAAAGATTAAAAGATGAGTCTAGTTTTTCAGCTTTAAAGGATAAGAGATGTCCCTTTCTGGATTAAGATAGATTGTTCATGAAGAAATATTATTATTCTGTTGATCTACTACCATAGTTGGCTAGTTCATAACACAACTTCTAAGCTCGAGATTAAGTTATTATACGTATTAGCTCTAACCAGATATGAAATTTCTTCAATTCAATACAATATATGTCTTTATATACAGTGGTAAATTCAGATTTTTTTTTAATGGGGTTAAAATACATTTAATAAATTTTAATGGGGTCATTTGATCAATATACAAGTAACTTTTATAGGAAAAAAAATATATAATTATATAGGAAACTTTTTTTTCCTTGTTCAAATGGGGTCACACTCGAATATACATGCATTCGCCAATGTCTATACAAAGGGGTGTTTGATATTATTTGAATTTACCAATTGAAGCATAATAACTTGACAATGTAATTTTATTTTATTATTTTATTTTTATTTATTAATTTTTTTTTTTTTTTGAGGAACTTGACACTGTAATTTGTACATAGTTAAAACTTTAAATTGAATTTTTATACGTAGTATAAATAATTGATAGACACGTTACACTTTCTTCAATTCTCGTATTTGTTACATATCTTTTGTTTATATGGAAAGGGAGAGGGTAAGGGGGTTGGGTGTAATTTGAACATTGTTCAAACGAAGAAAGAACTTTCATGCATTGTTCACTTTGTACGCTTATTTTTAAACCTTTAATTTGTATAATCATGTAGATCTTTTCCATGCATGCCAAATATAAATGTCATCCATGTTACTCGATCTACCATGACCCTACCTAAGACGCTTATTTAACCAGAACTATGTTGAGATAAAATTTGAGTTCGATCCAAATCAAAGTTGATTGTACTTAAATTGATCAATAATAGATTAAAATTGAATATTGACCGACTTAATTGTTTTCTACTTGATCTAACAAACACTGAATGGCTTGTTATTTAGTTACTCCCTCCGTCCCTAAATTACATTCGTCTTTCTCTCTATTATGTGAGGAATAAATGCTAGAAAGAGGAATGTAATGTAGGGACGGAGGGAGTACAATCTAAGCCCAAATCAAATGACATTCTCCCTCCGTTCCCGATTGATAGTCACTTATGCTATTTTTAGGCACCCAAAATGTTAGTCACATTTGCTTTTTTCAAGTACTATTAATATTATTTTTTTACCAAAATTCTCTAACATTTGCAAAAATATTTGTGCAAATTTAACTTTCCAATGTAAATTTTACTTTCCCATGTACTTTAATTACTTTCTCTTTCTACTTTTTTTTGCATACCAAAATGTAAATTTACTTTTTCAATATACTTTCTTTAATTATCCTTAATTCCCGTGATTTTTCTTCAAAAGTGACTATCAATCGGGGACGGAGGAAGTATTTACCACCTTTAACTAGAGAAAGATATGTAGTGTTTCAACAAAAAATATTTTTAACCGTCCTTCATGTCATTGTTAAAATGACTATCATTATAATTATATTTTATTGGCGGATTGATATTAATTTTTTTTTAAATGTCCAAATTTATAAATTATTTATTTAATTTTGAAATATTTATTGTATTTTTTTAAAAAAAAATTCCTAATTAAGTTACAAAATTTAGTTTTCATTATTATTGAAATTAAAAAATAGTTCATAAATTAATTATGAAATTAGAAAAAAATTAAAAAAAATAAGAAAAAACATTTATAATTAATTTTGACATGAGATGACTAGCTACCATAGAATTTTGCGTTATCAGATGATGAATTGACTAAAAGACTAAGTTGATGGTTTAGAGACTAAGCAAATTATAGAGTATTGTGAAACCCTAAACACAAAAACTTTTACCCATAGAGATTTGAGTAGCTCTTAAAGTAATTCCAGCCTTTCAATTGGGGTACAAAGTTGGAAGGTACCTTTATTACCTTTGGGGAGCAATCATCATTGAAAACCTCATACATATTGGTGGTGGCGAAATACACTTTCAAGGCAGTCGTAAAACACATCACATCTTTTTTAGATCTTTAATGTGGTCATCGTATTTTTTCCTAATTCTATATTATTTCATGGTTTTAACATCTGTATTTCCTACAACGTCTTAATACTATAAATATATATATATATATATATATATATATATATATATATATATATATATATTTTGAAAACTCTTAATACTATATATGTCAAAGTACTAATTTAACTAAAATCTTAATTAAGTTGATGGTTGAATTTGATGATCGATTATTATATTCTTAATTTTACTTCATACTAACACTTGTAGATGGTTAGGATGACAATGTCTTGCCAGCAAAATGTATATTTTGTACTTCAATTAATTAATGTGATTATTAGTAAACTAATACTAATACTCCAAACCAACTTTGACAAGATACATGGTTGTTTCTTAAAATTGTTCAAGTCCAATAAAATATAATAAATACATCAATATAGATAAGATGTTGCTCTCATTGTTTCTTTTTTTTTCCCTAAATGTTTATACTGTCGGTGCACCTAAGTGCCTTTGAAATGGTTTCAACCTTTTACTGTTATTTAATTTAATTTTGATAGAAATAAATAGAAAATAAATGTATGTGGTCACATACATGAAGCAAAAACATAATAAATTCAAAAGTTTACACTGATTTGACTTAATAATTTAGAGAAATTGACATAGTGTATTAGTCCCCATCCTAATTTATGGCTAAGATAAAGAGTACGTACTATTCATTCTTTAACTATGACCATGTGATATACAAATTTATAATAGAGAAATGTTATTACATTGTACGTTATTATATGTTGTTGAATTACACTCACTGTATGCATTCAAATTACTATATAAAATCAAATAATTTTAAATATTGTTGGATTACACCGAAGCTATGTTTTCAAATTATAACATATGATTAATTAAGTTTAATTAATTGAAAAATTATATTTTTTTTATGGTAAAATACAAACAATGAAATGCGTGACTCCAAATATTGCAATACTTTTTTTTGAGAAATAGAGGAAATATACTGAACAAGTTATCTTCTTTTCTAAGGATTGTATTGATCACATTTAACTATTATTGGTAGAAATGGTATAAGGTAAAATGTTTAAGCTTTGAAACTATGCAATGAAAAGTGTCTAATATGGACTCGTTGGTAATGCAATTATTTACATTGTTCATTAACTCAAGCAATAAGATCGATATCCTACCTACACAAACAGTAAAATTGTTTTATATTTTTATGAAATATTTTTTAATCGTTTAAAATGTGAAAAACATAACAAAGACAACTTTTTGGTTCACCAATTATTGTCCTATTTCAATTTTAGAAAACCAAAAATAAATATAAAATCATTCTTTATATAAAATAACATTTTTTGTGATAATTGATTGTAGATTAATAACTCCTTAAAAGATGACATATAAAACATAAATCAAAACGACCTCTATAATTAAGAGTAATCGCAGATTTTGTAGAGAATTTCACGTCTCATCACAGGAAGAGGCTTTTTCTAGAATTTGCCATGATTGTGGAAAGCAGTACATGATCTACCTGGGTTAACAAAGTACAAACAAAAATCTAGTTGAAGCAAAACTTAAGTTACATTAATTCACACTAACTGAAGTTGCATTAAAAGGCAATGCCAGCTCATATAAGAAGGTTGCTAGGTAACTTTGACTAGAGACTTTTCAGCTTTTGTAGGACATATCACAGGAAACTTAAAACTTAAAATCTAACAATTTAGTCACTAGAAAAAGGAGGCTAAAAATAGCCTAAAACTAAGAAAGCCAAGTTTTTAGGTAAGAAATTGATTAGTTGAGAAGTAACATCATGTAATATGTAGTAAGATCCAAAGTTTTTTCAACACTTAATTTCTCCTTTACTTTTTTGCTTATTGCATATTTGCATTGCCTAAAAAAAGAGCAACAGCATTGCATAGCAATATGCAGAGGAGCAATAACAGTTCAGAGATGACCTTCCTAGTCGAAGACATCGAAGCTGTCCTCGAAATGAACAGATTACTAGAGAAGGAAAACCTAGAGCTGAAACACGAAGTGACTCGTCTAAAATCACAGATTGCTTCCTCGAAAGCTCATGATATCGAGAGGAAATCGACTTTGTGGAAGAAGTTGCAGTATCCCAGCAGTGTGGGAAATAATAAAGAGGAAAGTTTACAGAAACAGACACTTCAGAGTCTTCAGACATCAGAACAGCTACGTACACCAGTGTCAGAAAGTAAAAAACCGTCGCCACCTCCACCACCACCTTGTAAGCAGATTATTCCTCGGGATTCAGACATTGGATCAATGAATAATGGTCCGCCACCACCACCACCGCCACTGCCTTCTAAACTACTGCTAGGCTCTAAGTTAGCAGTTCGTCGAGTTCCTGAGGTAATTGAGTTTTATCGTTACCTCAACAAGAGAAATGCCAAGATAGAGAACAGAACAAACAAAACAGTAGCTTCAAAGGAAGTCAGTCCAGGGAATATGATTGGAGAAATTGAAAACAAATCAATGTATCTCTCTGCTGTAAGTAATTCTGACTTATTTTTTTCTTTTTTCTTTTTTTTTCTTGTGTTCCTAACTAAAGTAATAATAAAGTCTCTGAAAGTCATGATTTCTGTTTCCAAAACTCGGAAACTCAGTAATTGGGTAGTGTTAATATATATTTGATATTTGGGTTTGAACAGGTTAAATCTGATGTTGAGATGCAATGCGAGTTCATCAATTACTTAATAAGAGAGGTAGAAACAGCAGTCTTCACTGATATATCAGCAGTGGAAGCATTTGTAAAACGGCTAGATGGAGAGCTGTCAAGTCTGGTAGACGAGAGAGCTGTACTGAAGCATTTTCCGCAGTGGCCAGAAAGAAAGGCTGATGCTCTAAGGGAAGCCGCCTGCTGTTTCCGTGACCTGAAGAGTATAGAGTCCGAAACACTGTCTTACAAAGACAATCCCAAACAACCATTGCCTCAAACATTAAGGCGGATACAAACGTTGCAAGACAGGCGAGCATGTATATAAAAAAAATTATGATTATGATGCTAAGGTTCTAACAATTCTCAAAGTTAATAATCCAGATTACTGATATTATGACCAACTGTTGTATATGCAGGTTGGAAAGGGTAATAGAAAACATCGAAAAGACAAGAGAAGGTACGTGCAGAAGATACAAAGAGATGCAGATTCCTTGGGATTGGATGCTGGATACAGGCCTTGTTGGTCAGGTAAAAAGAAATGGTTTGCTGTTTAATTGATTCCATACAATGATCAAATTTCTTGTACAATGATTTTGAAAGCACATACAATTTTTTGAAATTTCTACAAGACCAATGATATTAGGATGATTGGGGAACAGAGGTAATAAAAAAATTAGGAAGAAGAATGTTTGTCAATACATGATTTAGACCAATAATAATTATAACTATCTTTTAGTTAAATGTTAAAAGGTGGATATTTTACATTCATTACTAATAAATAGCTAATGTATTCATTTTCCGAATGTGTAAATTACTGGCAGATTAAGTTGAACTCATTGAAGCTATCAAGAGAGTATATGAAACGAATCATCAAAGAACTTGAGAGTTCTAGATTGCCTAGTTCAGAAGACATCATACATCAGGGTGCTCGTTTCGCATATCGAGTTCATCAGGTTAGAACACTTACAACCTTACCAATTTCTGTTTCTCATTCTAACCACTAACTTGAACCATGCTTCTGATGTCTAAACATATAACTATTACAGTTTACGGGCGGTTTCGACATAGATACAGAGCAAGTATTTGAAGAACTCAAACGAATACATTGTGCAAACGCTCCACAAGTTTGTAAGGCTTAAGATATGGAATAATCAGTTATTGCAAAGCAATAAAATAAATTATAGTTTGTAATATAATCTTCCATAATATTTATTAGTGTATAATAGAGTATAAATTAGGGTAATCACTCTGTATAATTCTCCTTACTCTTGAACAAATAGTTTATAGGTATTCCGTATTTAGTTGATACAAATCAATAGAAATATAGAGCACTTTTTATAATAGTCTATCATAACATGGGATTGTATTAGGAAGAAAAACATAGTTATATAATTTTGAAATTATTCACTCTTGCTTGTTCCAATTTTTTTTCATTATGCACATAACAATAAATATTATAAGATTTTGTGAATATTTAATGTGCATACTTCATTTTAATTCGATTTTTGCTAGCAAACTTATGGCTACATTTTACGAAAACAAATCTTGAGATTTTTCAATTAACTATCATGTTCTTTACTAATCTTTACCAACAATAGACATTTGAATGTTCAGATTGTTTGATCACACGAATAGTAAGTTAGGTTGCTCCTACGAAACGAGTTTATAATAACATAGTACCTCTTCCCTGATTGGAAAAATGAGAAAGGGAGTACTTAGCCTACACATAATCGTCGGACGAACTCTGATGAGGCTTTTATGTTAATGTTCTATACATAAGTGAGATATACTCCTACATAATTTAGCTATAACTTTTTTTAAACTTTGAAACAATATGAAATGGGTCTGGGCAACCCAAACAAGGTGGAGGAGAGTTTGGTTCACAAACAAGGCATTGGAGCTTCCATACTAAAACCAATTGGCAATAGTAGGAGTAACTCCTCTACCTTATAAAGTGGAACCACCTCTCCTCTTTCTTCAATGTGGGACACTCACAAGTGGGCTACAATGGGTTTCAACACCCCCCCTCACTTGTGAGTGTCCTTAGAATTTAGAGCACACCAGAAGGTACTATATAATCCTCATTGGGAATGAACATCCAATAGAGGCCCCTTAACCAGTGGCTTGACAAATACCCAGTTTTTTGAACGGCCCAACAAACTTGGGCTCTGATACCATGTTAAATTTTGAAACAATATGAAATGGGTCTGGGCAACCCAAACAAGGAAGAGGAGAGTTTGGTTCACAAACAAGGCATTGGAGCTTCCATACTAAAACCAATTGGCAATAGTAGGAGTAACTCCTCTACCTTATAAAGTGGAACCACCTCTCCTCTTTCTTCAATGTGAGACACTCACAAGTGGGCTACAATGGGTTTCAACAACTTTGAAGTTAAATCAATAGAAAAAAAAAGGTCTCAAACAACCTATACTGTTGAAGTAGATGAAGGATTAAACCTTTTCTCAGATCTATTCCTACTTAACATCCGTCTTAGAGAGCAATCTAACATGGGATAATCCCTACTTCCCACATTCTCGTCTTCGGAATCTGCATCAATTCCCATAATTTCTACCACAACTTGATCATTATTTATGATGTTATCAAGGTTCATGATGGCAGACTCATCCGACTGATTCGTACCATCATCCACGAGTAGATGCTCCTCTGCTGCCAAATTTTCAGCAGCACCATCAGTTCCCTCACCACTCAGTGTCTCGCTTTTCTGACTAACATCAGCTTCCATCACAACTTGAGCTCGACAGATTGGACAGGTAGAATGGCTAAAGAGCCACATATCAATGCATTCCATATGAAACGCATGTGAGCATCTTGGCAAGCTCCTTCCTACTTCCCCTTCCTCAAACATACTCAAGCAGATTGCACACTCCAACGCCACCCCCTTATACCCTTCTCCCCCACTTCTTCCCTCCGACACTGGTCCATACACAAACGTCGGGATCAAATCTATCACCGTCAAGTCAAGACCCTTAGTTTGGTACGAACAAGAAGACAGAGAGGTGATATCATACGTGTAGGTTGTCGACGATACTGTGTGTGACCTGCGGAGGTGAGGTGTGCGGCCAAAGACACCAAATATAGACGTTCGACATAGGTGGCCCTCAGCAAGGAGCCACCTCGCGTAAATATGAAGTAGGAGGACAAAAAGGATGACTAACAAAAGACATAAGATGGCAGCAAGCAACAAGTTATTCTCATAGGCGATAGTGGTGCTACTAAGCATATTGTTTGTGTAGCTTATTATACACAAAGATGCTTCAACTAGTGATCGTATCGCTTCGAGCATACATACACATATATATATATGTCCTTACAAAGTATAGAGTCAATAGAGAACAAAGGAACAAAGATTAAGAACCATAGGATACCATGAAGAATGTGAGAAAAATGTGAAGTTGCGTAGATGCTAAGTTGTCAAAGAGAAGGGGAGGTGCCTCTAATAGTGTAAGTGTATAAAAATAAAATCGGTGTTACGTAAGTCAAAAGGAAGGTTCCCTGCATCCAAGGAGAATGGTTGGAGAGTAGATAAAGGACTCGTGAAGTTGACGGCAGACTACCCACGGAAAATTTTTATTTTTTACAAAAGCATATTTTATGAATTTGGTGCATTGAAAAGCGGATGATTTTTATGAATTTGTTGCATTGAAACTGGGATTTTTTTTTTACTTCAGAGATTGAGGATCCCAATCTCTAAGCACACGGGAACCAAAGGTCAAATTATATGGTATTAGAAACAGCAAGGGTGATAATAGCGCTAAGGGTAATGTTATATGTATTTAATATACTTCCTTTTAGTTGGAAATTTATCGACAATTCAAGAGTAAATTTGGTGTAATAAATATTTATTTATTGCCTATTATTTTCGCTTTTAGTTTCTTACAAGCAGCCCATAGGGCTGCAAATATTTTTTCCCGAATGCGAAATGTATATACTATAAGACTAGAATAGACCCGGTCTACAATAACTTATTGTAGACCCAACCTTCTAGTTTACTATACGAATGTGATTATATCATACGAAATATGATTATATTATTACAAAAGTGATTATATCATCTTGAAACTATTATGTAAATGTATCACTCAAAAAGTGAATTTATTATTATAAAAAGTATCAAATAGTAAATTACATCATTCAAAAGATGATTTTTAAATTTTATCATCCTAAAGATAATTATATAATCTCATTAAATGGTTTAATATGAGATCAAAATATGACTCACAAAAAGATAATTATATCATCTAAAAAAGTAATTATATCATCCAGAATGTGATTATATTATTTGAAAGTGTCAAATTTTGGGTCTACAATAATTTATTGTAGATCGGGTCCATACAAGACCAATTGATGACTCAGACTCAACTCAAACTGAGCTCGAACTTGATTCTATTTCTAAATACACTAAAAATAGATAAAGAATAAACATTTTTAAGGTTCAAAAAATTATTATACAAGTTTATCTAATGTTTATAATAAATGATATATTCTTTCAAAAAAAAATAATAAATGATTTATATTTAGAATTTCTCTGCAAAAAAACAAGATTTTTTTTTCCTTAAATTCTAACAATTCAATTAATTCTCTTAGATTTATATATAATCGACTTTACTATTTAAAGTTTTCAACATGTATCCTCGAGGTTCATTAAAATTCACCATGTACCCTAAAATTTTTATAAAGAAATAATCATTTTCTACTCAATTTTAGTACGCGTAAAAGAGAGAGATTGAAAGCATCAAAGCAAGAGGGTAATGTGCAGATAAAGAGTGTAAAGGTTTAACATGCATTGAGATTTTTACCCAATAATGTTGGTGACATACGAAGTACATTAAGTCACTAATACGTATATTGAAAATTCTCCCAAAAATTATCAATTAACAATTACAAAGTAAGTCTAAACATAATTTCAACCAAGGTTTGGTTCACTTAGAGCATTGCCACTAATGGGCATTTTTTTGGTTGCTCAATCTCTCTCTAACCACTTTCTCACTCCTCCTCCCCATGGGCATTTTCTTAATTGGTCATTTTTATTCTACACCAATGGTTAAAAATTATAATCCCCACCATTCTCTCTCCTATTTTTAACCCTATACCCCACCAATATTTATCTCTCCTACACATCATTAAATTTGTAATTTAGTATTTCTTAATTTTATTGTTAACAAAATTTTGTATTGATTAAATTATTTATGAGTAGTACAATATTAATTATTTTTAATATTAATTTTTGCAAAATGTATTTTTTAATAAAATAATAATATTTATTCTTAACTAAATTTTTTTATTGATTAAATTATTTATGAGTACAATATTAATTATTTGTGTCATTATTTTATGCGAAATTTCATTTTTCATTAGTACAACATTAACGATTACAACATTGGAACATAATGATCGTACACCAATCATACAAACCAAATAAATTAACGATTACAAAACTATTTATTCATTACGACCGTATTTTTGCCAAATATGCTCAACTAAATCATCTTTCAAAGAAAAATGGGTTTGGCTATCACACAGGGTAATTCTTCTTTGAATATACGCGTCAAAATCAACGTTTGGTGGTCGGCCACGTCAAATTCGAAAGGCTCGTTGTTATTCACTGTGACACTTGTACTCGGACCGGACCTTGCTCTATGAAGCTGAGGGCGATCTTCTTCATAATACCTTCTCAAAACTTCGGCACGAGTGTAATTGTGTCGTTCATCCTCGACAATCATGTTGTGCATAATGATACAAGCTTTCATTATGTCGCTCAAAATGTCTTCGTCGAAAGCAAGTGAGGGTTGTCGTAATATGGCAAACCTAGCCTGTAGAACTCCAAACACACGTTCAACGTCTTTCCGAGCTGCAGCTTGTTTATCTGCAAATAACTTGTCCTTCTGGAGTTGAGGATATGTGATACCTTGTATAAATGTTGCCCAGTTCGGATATATACCATCTGTTAAGTAGTATCCCATGTTGTACTCATGGCCGTTTACCATAAAACTAATTGGTGGTGCCCGACCTTTCAAAACATCGTCAAACACCGGAGAGCGGTATAGGACGTTAAGATCATTACAAGAGCCGGGTATTCCAAAAAATGCATGCCAAATCCATAAATCTTGATCCGCAACAGCTTCGAGGATAAGGGTTGCATTCTTGCTACGACCTGCGCATTGTGCTTTCCAAGCCATAGGACAGTTCTTCCACTCCCAGTGCATGCAGTCGATGCTACCGATCATGCCCAGGAATCCACGCATTTCATTTTGGTGAAGGATTCTCCTTAAATCTTCATCTGTTGGACTTCTTAAGTACTCGGCCTCAAAATGCTTGATCACCCCTTGAGTAAAATGTTGCATTGATTTTCTAGATGTTGTTTGACCCATGCGTATGTATTCATCTACGGCATCCGGAGCAACACCGTACGCTAACATTCTTATTGCAGCGGTACATTTCTGCAGAGGTGATAAGCCAAGCCTACCAGCTGCATTCCTACGCTGTTGGAAGAACGGATCACCCTCAACCACTTTATTCATAATCCGACAGAATAAAGGTTTGTGCATTCGAAATCGACGACGAAAATGATTTTCGGAATACACAGGATTTATTGCGAAGTAATCATTATACAATTGAAAATGCCCTTTCTCCCTTTCTCTATCTCTCCTATGCTGCGAGATTGTTTCATCTTCATTTACAATTTCGATCTCAGATGGAGGTGGTTGAGGAAGCATTATGTTAGGTAAGTGATTTGTGACAAATTCGTCAACTAGATTATCAAATTCCGCATATTGATCTGAATCAGAAGAATTTGAGCTTGAGGTTGAGCTTATGGAAAACATTTTCTGTGTTTGGTTTTTGAATGTTTTGGTGTTGTGGATCAATTTATGGATTTCACACCTTTAAATAGGAAATGTTATCAGTGCATGTCCTTCAACTAAGTGTGAACTGACTACTCAATGTATAGTAAAAACAAAATACATGACTACTCAATTCTTAATAATCAATACCAATGATTGTCATACGGTTGAAGTTATGTATGAAATGACTACTCAATGCTTGTATAAAACAAAAACTACAATTGGACTTGACTACTTTTTGGGATTTGACAGTTCAATGGTTGATAAAACCAACCACTTGACTCATAATTGTATAAGACAAAATCTACACACACTAGCTAGTACTTCACTCATAATTGAACAAAATATTTGAAAATGTAATATAATTTGATTAATTTTTGGAACATAATTAATAATAAAAATTAATTCATTGCAACATAAAATAAACAAAATACTTGAAATCATAATGCATAATAAACTACTCTACTTTCCACCATACACTTCTTGAATTAGTTCCTCCTTCCACGCTTCTTCAGTTGGTGTAAGTGGCGTCGTTTTTGACATAATTGCTTGCAACATATCAAATTTCATCTTCTTCTCTTGTAATTCGACCTGTTTGTTTTTCCTCTTTTCCTTTTCCCTTTCAAGCTCCAACCTTTGCTGCCGTAAATTTGCCTCAAAGCTTCTAACTTCAGTACAAGCCTGTATCTGTTCACCAATACTTAAAATTGCACTATCATGAGCAATAGCTTTTCCCTTACGCTTAGCCTTTGCTTTTTTTACCCCGTCGGTTCTGGGTATACCTCCTGATGAAAACCCACCAACGGGAACATCTCCTTCAGCTTCACTGTCAGTTCTCGATCTCTTTCCACTTCCACTGATATCCTCGGTGTCCCCTTTCGGACGCAGTTGACAATCCTGTCGTTCCTTTAGTGACAATGCCCATCTGAGTTTCGGCCTCCACTTTGGGTCATTCTTTATCATTTCCCAAGCGTGGGAAAAAACAAAATTGTGTGGTGGTTTGGCTGATATATGGAACAACTTCGAGGCCTTTTGAATTCGACCAACTTCGTTGAATCCACTTCCAGTTAACGGACCCGCTTCATCATAACAACTTGTCCATAACAATACATCTGTCGCCATCCTTCTCCAACGGTTCTCCAAACTCTTCGCATTTCTGGGTGGTAGTATTTCTGGCTTCTTAGCTTGAACCATGTCGTATGCCGCAGATATTTGTCGCCAAAGTTCAGCTACTTTCATGCCCGTACCCACTATCGCATTTCCACTGTATTTTAAATATAGCCCAATAAGAGCTTCATCTTCTGCGACTGACCAAATACAACTAGCTTTAGCGAGTTGTTGGTTGGAACCCACCCGCATTCTTTGAGTCGACGGAGGGTATTGAGGTGTCTCAGGCACATTTTCTTCTTGGCTATCATCGTACTGAGAGTTACTTCCTTGGTAGACATGAGGTGATTGCTCGTAATTAGTGTTTTCAGTTGGAATTTGTGGAGGTATTTCAAGTTGTGGAGGTATTTGTTGTTGTGGAGGATTTTGCAGAGAGGTGTTGCTCAATCTTTGTAGGAAAAGTTGAAATTGAGGTTGATTCATGAAATTCTCATCTAAATCATTACAATTTTGAGAAAGTATTGAGTAAAAGGGGTTATTGGGATCCATATCTATTTTTTTTGATTAATTTCAAAAACTAACACAATAATAACAATAATAATAATAATAATAATTATAAAATAATAATAATAATAATAATAATAATAATGATATTAATAACAAAAATAATAACGAACAACAATAATAATATTAATAAGCTAAAATAATAACAATAATAATTATACTTCCAATAATAATAATAATAATAATTATTATTATTATTATTATTATTATTATTATTATTATAATTATAATAATAATAATAATAATAATTATTTTAATAATAATAATTATAATAATAATAATAATATTAAAAGGATAACTAATTATGAGGGAGAAATTGAGTGAAAATGTAAATACAACAAATTTACGTGAATTTTGGAAATATGAAAATATAGGCAAAATGGGTCTCTATTTGTAGAGAATTTTTTTTTCTAGCCGTTGGTAAATTTTTTTTTTTTATTTTATAAGCACAAAATACCCGTTACAAAGTTGTTACCGTTGCAATAATCAGGAATTTCCTGATTGATCCAACTCACCTGACAGAACGCGTGTCAGCATCTGATTGGTCGTGCTGACGCGCCTGTCAGGGCTGCACATATATTTTTTTTTTGCTAAGCTTACCTCAAAGCGCAGCGTTTTGAGGTGAAGTAAAGCAGACGCTTCCTCAAAACGCTGCGCTTTGAGGTAAGCTTAGCAAAAAAAAATTAAAATGCAGCTATGCACGTGGGGCCCAGTTCTTCTTGGTCAGTTTTTTAATTTTGCCCAAACTTTGATCAAAAATTGATTTGCCCATGGGCATTTTTAATTTAGACCATTGATGGGGAGTTATTTTTTTTTATTAAACCCCAAAAACTACCCATGGGCATTTTTCTCCCCATTGGTGGCAATGCTCTTAGTAAGGTTTTTACCGCGTCTAAGGTTCAAATGTTGCTAAGTAAGGATACTTGTGGAAAGAGATTCCCTTACCTTCTAACTACACATAAGTGTCTAACCAGCACATATTGAAGTTAAAAAATAATAATAATATAATTAAAAAAAAATACAGTCTGAGTTGAAGACTAGTGAGAGATTCTGTTCCTTGTCAAAACTAAAAAAGAAAAAAAAAAGTCAAAATTTGCTTAGACATGCAAATCAAGTGAATGAGTCAATCCCAATCTAAACTGAAGCTGGACAAATATATAAAGCCTGATTTGTGGCTCAAGAGCCGCAATAGATGGCCCAGCTAAATTTGATTTAAATCAGCTTGGGAAAAAGTGGGAGAGGGCTTGCAATAGTGCCACAAGTCAGAACATATTATCCATCATGAAATCCTTTTCCATTCTTAGCATGTGGCCTGGATCAAACAACAGAAAGCTCTAGTATACAGGCCATACGCCCATACACTGCCTTTTATCTTGCGAGTGTATTATAGAGCTGTCAAAACTAGCCCGACCCTAAATAAGACGACATAATAATTGACTATATATATGCCCAACATGACTAAAAACCGACCCAACTCTGAACGTGAACTTTCAATTTGACAATTTTGACATGACATCAATCAACTTTGATGATTTACAGTTGCATCTATTAGATAATCTGACACAAAAGACAAATGTAGCAAATTTATATTGACATTGAACTTGTTATTTATATACGATGTATATTTGTTTTTATGAAAAATAAATTATGGTCAACGAGAAAAACCATGACCATGAAAGATATATGTCAATAAGTACATAGAAATAAAGATAGTAATACATTCATCATGGGAGAACAATAGAAACACACCAAATTCAGATGAAGGATTTTCATGTTATAAAGCAACAAAAGACCAGCTTCTCCCACCAGTTTAATCCATAAGCTTGTATCGTTTCTCTTGTACACCTGTTACTCCCATTTGGATCTCTATGATTGTGTGAAGAGGCACCTACACATCGATAACTGACATTAGCAATACAAACATGAAAAAAAACATATAGGCTCATGTTATATAGGCTCAGCTTCTCTCTCTCTCTAAAAAAAAAAAAAAAAAAAAAAGGAAACAGAAAGCAAAACACTGGTGCATCCAACCCTGACTTTCAGAATTTGAATTGAAAGCATGATGTATTTGATAGCAATGCCATTTGAGAAGTACTTCAATTTTATGTACCGATAGTAGAAAGTGTTAAGTTATTACGGTTTAAATTTTATAGTTAAATCTGTCCATTTACAATTTCTAATCACCTCTTCAAATAGGGTGCCAAAAAGGTGTGTTGCAAGTATGAAATGACAGAGGAAATAGTAAATAAAAGTACAAGACCGTCAAGAGTACGTACAGATGCTTTTAGACATCCCCAAAACCCTACCCATAGCAGGATTTAAACTTTGTTTATTGTTCTTAAGCTCGGATCTTTCAAGGACCTACGAGATCTAGACACTACCAAAAGGGCTCCTTAACAATACCTAATCCCAAAGAGGGCAAGATCTCAAACTTTTTCCCTAAACTTTAAGGAACCCACAAACATCCAAACTTATCACTATTAGTACTTTCTGCAGAATTTTGTATTTCTGGCAAAGTGTTTGGAGATGAGATGCTTGGAAGTAGTCTTTTTATAGCAAAATAATTCTAGAAGATATTTGGTCCCAAATGGAGGTGAACAGGACAAGTCTATCTGTCTATCGGTTTTGTTTATAGGTGTTCATTGTTAACTTGTGAAACAGCGAGGCTATAGATGTCTGCAAAGGTTACCTCAATATGTGGTATTTCTTTCAAAGGCCTGTCAGCAAAATAAGCATACAATGCTCTCAGAACAGCCTGCAATTAAAAAAATAAAAAAATCAGGATCATGGTAACATGTTATTATCAATAACCAAAATTTGGGGAACACGTTGAGTAAATTATCATTAAGCTGTATTACCTGATGAGAAATTACTACAACAGGTGCTCTTTGTCGCTCAAGCTCAATGATTACAGGCTCCAGCCTGCATCACAGGAATTTATTTATAGCTATGAATTTTGAAATCAAGCATATATTACTCTGGAAAATAGTGTGAGGAGAGAGAAAAAGGGGCTCTTAAGATTATCAGAAGATGAATATACAAACCTCTGGATGACATCCAAGTATGACTCTCCTCGAGGATAGCGATACCGAAGCTTGTCTTTTTCACGTGATCTGGAATTTGAAGAATAAAGGAATTAAAACAGATATGTATTCCTTTTAAATTGCCATTTTACATGTGTAGGTTATGCTGATATAATGATGCAATAACCTATATGCAAATAATCCATAAATGAACAAGATATAAATAGAACAGAGTACATTACATAATTTGAGTCTATAGCATACACTATGTCAAATATTGACTGTCAAATATTGACAGATATCCTTGGTCAGAAATAAGATTCAATCAAACCAAGTCCACCCGGAAATAAAAGTTAATAAATTAAGAGGGCCTTCCTCAGTAAACTGTAAATTTAACTAAATGTTCACAAATTAGATCAAAAATATGTATTCTAAGTTGTGGAACCATTCATAAAACGAATACGTAACAGTCAATACTATATGTAAATGGAATGAGCTACATACTCGTATTCTTCAGGCATGTTCTTCTTGATCTCCAAGTAAGTCATTCCATCACATGCTCCAGCATTAATTTCATCAAGTGCACGCCACTGCACCTGTGGAGTTCACAAGAATACGAGAGTCAAATAGTTTTATAATTTTTATGAAGTAAAAATCACCAAAAATTAGCAAAAAGGAACATTTAATGTCAAGACTAGAGACACATATTGCAGTTCTCAATTTAAATTACCTTGGGAAATCCAACTATATGATTTGCAGTTGAAATCGATCTCTGCAAAGTGCTGGTCCATATCTGCATGATGAGAGAGAGAGAGAGAGAGAGAGGAGGGGGGAGTTTTAGTTCTCTGTGAATAGGAAAACCCAAAGATGTCTAAAAGTCCAACATACACAATTTTTTAAGCAGACAGTTCACATAACAATCATTGAGGATGCAGCTGAAATAGCTTAGGTGCAGAAACCACTGCAGAAAATAACTAAAACTATCTGGTCAGACATCAATAGTAATGATACAACCCTTTTTGTGGCGCACAGTCCATCAGGACCAGAAACAAACAGAAAGATGAAATTACTTCTTAAAAGGGTGTGGGGAGGCAGAAGGGGGGGGGGGGAGACCAAGTCCCTAGGCATGGACTCCTGAAGTTACCGTAAATGGATAGTATTTACAATATTCTCCATAAGCATGTGGTCAGGTAATGACAAAGTTCTCTCCCAAAGTGGCTTTTCCAGTGTGGGCTTTTATGTTAGTACAATTACCAGATAAACAGGTGATGAACTAATGACACCAATCTAATGATGGTGAAATTTCGTGAAGTCAAATAAATTCCCAGCTTATCTTTCTTTTGCAAATGTAGTAATTCCATAACTAGTTAAATTCATTTTTTTTCTTTTTTTTTTTTTCTTTTGGGGGAGAAGGGGGGGGGAGGTAGTGGGAAGAAGAGTTAACTATTATAGGAGAGAGGATATATGGAGGAGATCAATGTACCAATGAAGTAAATCAGAGTAACATGATGTCATGATCAATATAAAGGACCCTTACACCCATTCAGAAACTGCTTATGAGCAACGACAACTAGGGATAGGGAAAGACCCCCAACCCTAAGATACGGGTATGAGTCTTATTTTTTTAGATCCTATGGGTACAAGTAGAATATTGGTCTAGGTGGCATTGGATAGGGTAAGGGTCCGGGTATAATGTTTTCAGACCTAGACCTACCCATGGACCCTTAAGACCCATACTCTACCCATACTCTACCCAAACCCGTACATAGACTCACACAATATATACACTAGGAAAAAGTTTCAAAATCAAATTAAAAAAACTTAAGGATCTTGATTTTGTACGATGTTGATAATGAAATCAAGTATGATATGAAAGACGACTACAAAATGGAAGCCTATTAACTTTACGAGACTTTAGATTGTAATAAGCTTATGGATTACATTTAGAGAGCATAATTGTCCAAACTCTATTTATAGAGTGTAATCATTAAATTACATAAGGAAAATCTTAAATGCAATTAACATCATATCAAAAGGGGCATATAGGTAAACAAACATTTTAAAGAGATAATTATCCTCACACTATTCATAAATATTTTCGCATACTTTTTAAAGGGTAGGATGTCGGTCATGTTTTTATGTACTCCCTCCGTCTCATAATATAGTTCTTGTTTGTGATTTTTCACAGTATTTAAGGAATAGGAGGAGAAAGTGGATGAAGCACATTAATAAAAGTGAAAAGTACAATCATAGACAAAAGTTAGAGAGAGAAAGTGGAAAAAAGTACAAAGTATGTACAAAATTCAAAGGTAAATTAGAAAGTACAATGAATAAAGTTAAAAAAAGTGAGGGTATAATGGACTTTATATACTATCCAAAAGTAGAAACAAGAACAACATTTTGGAACTCCAAATAAGAAAACAGGAACTATATTATGGGACGGAGGGAGTATTAGTTTATTTGTTTTTGGCACAATACAACAATCGCACACTAAAAAATAGACAATAAAAATTTGAGAAAAAAAAGTAAGCAAAGGATCCAAATGGGACCCTAGACCCTACCTACATCCTGCTAGACCCATATGGTCAGGGTAAGGGTCTTAAAATTTTAGACCCTAAGGGTCCGGGTAAGGTGTGGATATGGATTAAGGGTCCTGTTATTACTAGACCATACCCATTTCCATCCCTGACGAAACCCATAAAAATTTGATGAATTAGACTTTGAAATAAAAATCTTTTCTATAGGATCAACTTATTTATTATTTTATTCTTGATGAAAGATGACCAATTTATTGTACACTCAGTTGGACTGGTTCAACAACCATCACCTATATTGAATCCTAATGTGGGAAGGTCTTCTAAGTAGTACTATATGTACAGCTGTACCCAGCTCCAACCCTAAACAATAACAAAACCACTAGAGAGGCTCTTTCAAAGATACTTCAAATAAATACTCACCTATATGAAAATGAGGTATGGAGTAACGAAAAGAATTTTTTAAAAATTTGAAGTATAAATGATCAAAATAAAAAATAAAAAAAAAGTTCAACAAAGCCTTTTTAAAATGGAGATTATAGGAATAAAGGCTGTCTAATAGATAGAAAATGCTAAATAAAGTAATACTGAATAAGCACAGATGAAAACAAAAACAAAAACAAAAAAAATCTTACTGTTAGCAGAATTTAAGGATAAGGCCAGCATCATGAGTAGAGTTCAAATATCTCAGAAAATACCCAAGAAAAACGAACACTGACATAGAAAAGTAATTTACTGAAAGATGAAAATGAACAAGTCTCGATGTCATGCCTACTACTAATGGATGGGAGAATTGGCTCAGGATACAGGACAAGTGACTTAAGGAGCCTATATACACTTCTCAAGGTTGGTTTGGAGAAGAACAATGCAAGTTATATGCACTACGCATTGGAACTCACTTGGTCCAAGCCCAAAAGATAAAAGGAGACAAGAGAGAATTTCCAAAGAATCACTAAGGTTGGATCATTTCACAGCATTAGCATATGAACCATACAAGTGTCACATTGTACTGCAGCATTGCTTTTTATAATTTTTCAACCATCAAGTTCCTAATACAAGGCGTAAATAAAAATAATAATTCATTGTACCAGCTTCTAGTAACCAGTTCAAATTGTTGATAATATACTTACTGAAGCAGCACGTTCAGATTTTAACCGCTTTTCTACAAAGTCGGCAAGCTTCTTGGCATACAGCGCTCCAGTATCACTGCAAACACAAAGCAGATATTCATTTTTATAGAGAGCTATCATCACTATTAGTAATTCAGCAGCTAATATATCTAAGAACAAAGTTCTAGTTAAGTATGATATTAAAGAACTAACATATAGAAATATTCAATGAAAGAGGTCAAATAAGAAAAAAAACAATGCATTAATTAACATTTATTGATAAAACTAAACTATTCTTCTGAAGCATACAAAGGAAATGAGAAAGCTAAAAGGGGGTTCATAGCGCAGGTCCCAAGCTAATATTCATTCCATTTCCCTTCATTTCCATTTAATTTTTAGAACCAAACATAGGAAGCCATAATATTCCTTTCCTTTTTTTTCTTTTCCTCCGATTTCCTCCCAACCAAAAAGGGCCTCACAGTTGCAATATTTTGACTTTCACATTTGTCAATGCATGATTTCAACTCTTTAAATTTCTTGTTGTAGGCAAGTAAAATATATAAATAATTGACATTGTGAAAATTTAAATTGAGACGAAGCTAATAAGACCCTACATGACTATATTTCCCAACATATAAATCAACAAAGGTGGTTAATTGAGAAAACATGACCAATGTAAATTTCACTATATTGCAACTAAAAGAGAACGGAGTTAGTATAATTTTTACATAGGAACTTTACTATGTTAATATATATACAGGTTTGTTGGCCAATTTTTATAGGAAAAATTGTCAAAAATAATACAAACTTTGAGCAATCCGCAAAAAACAAATCAAACTTTTAATTATTTTTTAATAATACAAACTTTGAGGGGTATTTGCTTTAAACAAGTTAAAATCGATTAGTTACTTCATGAACAGGTTATATTAAACACGTGACATTGTATTATTTTTATAAAACTATAAAATAAGTTTATAAGATAAATAAAAAAATAAACCGGCTTAATAAGTCGTAGGTAAAATAACTTGTTTATAGCGGATATCCCTCAAATTTTATATTATTTAGAAATAATTAAAAGGTTGATTTGTTTTTAGCGGACCGCTCAAAGTTTGTATTATTTTTGACAATTTTTCCTTCTATTTTTATATAAAAGTTGTCCATCATTAAGTTGAGGCTAACAGCATAAACTCCTCACTTCATAAGTCATAACAAGACTTGCACCTTACTCAATAGGTACTTAATTGGCACTAGTTTTTTAATATAAAACCAATTCACCATAACGATCTATGATCACCACCATATGGCTTTTTTCAAAAAAAAAATAGAATCAGTTTACTCCTAAATTCTGATGTTCCTACTTTAGAATGTTGCATTTGTACGAAAAAGTCAAAAGATAATAATAAGAATCTTATATTAGGTATGATTTTTATGTTCAGCAAGCCTTATCAAATGCTTCACTAATTGTATTATTTGACATGTTAAGTATGACCTAGAATTAGGTGCACACATTTTTAATTTTATTCCCAAAAACAAAACACTAAGCTATATCCTTAATTTTGTACATGCCTTTAATTAAGTCACATCCATATCAAGATTCAAATTTACGGAAGGCATTACATGACATGGAAAAAGAGAATGTCAATGGAAGATGCAAAGATGAACCAAACAACTTTTTGTTGCATATGATTAATTATTTACGATAGTTAGCATTTAGCACAAATTTGGAAGTTTAAAATTATAACGATGAAGTATAAATGGATGCAAAGATGAAGAGAAATAGTTTAATCATAATTTAAAGATAAATAAATGACCCAACTTTACCTTTCACATTACATTTGAGTTATTTAGCAATTATCAATATTTAGCATACACTTGGAAGTTAAATCTTAACACCGTAGATAAATAAAAACTAAGAGGCAGTTGGCAGTTTTAGAACATTGAAAGAATCAAATAGTCTGAAAAAGAAGCTACAACATGGTAAAGCTAATGCACCTTAAAGCAGAGTCACCACCAATCCTGGTTCTGACATTATCTCGGCTTTCACCATGTCTAGTAAGTAATATAGGACGGGGGGTGAGATGGGTGTTGACCTGCAATACAGTGAATAACTATGGTCATGGATTGTTCAACAAGCACTGTATAATTCAATGCATCACACAAGCTTGTGCACTCTTAATTTAAATTTAGCATGTTGTTAATCAGCTACTTACCAAATCATGTAAAAAGACAAAACAAATATCATCCAACAAAAGAAATGGCATAACCTCCACCAGAATCTAAGCAATAGACATATAAATCCAATCTTGTAATACATTAAAAAGGGATGCAGTAAGGAATAACCCCATGGGTGTGAATCTGAAGGGAAGCTAAAGACATCACTTGCCCCCAAAGAGCAAAAGACCACCAACCATAAATAATCTCATCACCCATTACTTTCCAAATATAAATTCAACTTGACCCATTAAATTGATTAGAATGCAATTTATTAGTAGCACACAATCATAGCATTTTGAGTTAAGGGCATTTTGGGTTGAGGGATAACTGGAAACAGTCAATATGCTGTCAGACTTATCTCACAAGGATAAGGCTTTATACAACCTACCCAGGCACCCAAAAAAATAGCAAGTAAAAATAAACAAATAAATAAAAACCATTATAAATCTAATTAGAATCATGTTGATGCTGATTTCATACCAACAACAAGATCAAGCCATCTCAAGTAACTTCGGAGAGATCTCAACTTCATACAGTATTTTAAATCATGAATTCAATATACCATGAGTCCAGATCCAAATCTTATTCATAGTACTTTGCTATAAAGTAAGTTTCATTTATCAACAAGAGAAAAGAATACGAAGTAGAGGGACCATCCACCACACATCAAAACAGACAGGAAAGAACACTTATTTTTGCAATTAGTCAGAAAGGAACACATGACAAAACACCCCATGAACTTGAGCAAAAAATAAGAAAAGTGAAATATACTCTCTCTCTCGTTAAGTAACAATTCCCCAAAGACAAGAATTTGCATCATTTTTCTTCAACCAAAGCACCCATATGATAGAAGATAAAATGACCATATCATGTCTTCTCCTCTTTCTGAACTTCATTACTGAATCTGTAAAAGACCCCTAAAAGCAATAGGAGCACTCTGACAAACCCCAATATAGCCAATAACCTCTTCCAAATAAATATCCATGATGATGCAAAAACAGCAAACATAATTAATCACGAAAGGTTAGTTTGTTTTTCCATCACTTTAAGTGCCTTAAGATTTCTCTAAAAATAAAGGGTTCAAGTAGCTTAGTCATCCAAATAAATTTGCAAGACATCCAAATAAATTCGACAACAAAGGCAACTCTGTCTAGAAGAGGAAGCACCATCAAGATATTAGCGAAAATTGTTTTTAGGATTTCTTATAAGGTCTTCTAATCAATGACAATTCAGAACGGATGAAACATTATTGTAAACATCTTTAGATAAACATTTGAAGCAACGATAAGTGCTGTTACATTTGTGGGGTTTAATTATTACTTAATTGGTATTACTATTCCGGAGAGCATGAAAATTCTTATGCACAAATTTGTGAGAGACTATTTCTTAGGTTATATTTTGGAGGTAAATATTTTAAGTGCCAATAAGTTGCTGGCAGAAAGCATTCACCCACATATGGTAAGGAACAACACAATAAAAAAATAAAATAATAAAAAATATTAAATAAAAAAAAGAACATAAAACAAGATTTTAACATTTAAGGATTCTGATAGCATACCAAGAAAAAGACAATCCGACCTGGAAGGTATCCACTTATGTTATTCACCTACACGAGAAGAATATATAGGTTCATCAGCAAATAAAAGCAGGAATTGCATCAAAGCCAACAAAGGACACTCTTGGGCAATTTTGCTTCAACAGAAGACCAAACTTCAGCTAAAACATGCTCCACCTAAAACAATAGGAATCATGATACTAATAACAAGCAGGTAAATAATGAATGGGGAAATAGGGGGGAAAGGTTGATGCCTTGATGGAGGGGAAGAATTTACTAAAGCTTCCTTCTTTCCACTTCAACTGAAAAACTTATTTGCACTTCTTATAATTATACTGAGTTTACTGATCCTTATTTGTATTTATACCAACTTATTTGAACGTGCTTGAACCCAAAGCTTTACAAGAAAATTTAGATGGGATACAATAACAGTTGCAGAACTACAGGTAAAGGCACTGTAAATAACCTGTGACTGCATGGTCATGGTAATTTTTTCTTTTTTTTTTTTATTACCTTGAGGTGATGCAGCCTTAATACTCTATGTGAATATATCTACACTTGTCTAAATTGAAAATTCAAAATGGAATCCCTTATCTGAGCAAGTTCATTTTCCCACAAATATTCATTTTAGGTGAAAAGAACAAAACCTAAGAATTCTATTAATCCCTATAATTTCATTGTTCAGGTAAGCTGCACAGTGCTAGTTGCAAAGTACAACACTACAACTACTCCCATCTTGACTCTTCTATTTGTTGAGCCTAACCCATATTAAGGTTTCGTGGACACTTAGATGTGATCCTTTAGGGATATGTAGCATAAAATAAAGGCAAAATTGGCCGCAACACCCTGAAGTATGGCTTAGGTGCACTGAGCACCCTAAATTGTGCGTAGTAGCCAAAACACCACAAACTATAGTCTTAGGTGCGACGCGTGCCTTAAATGAAAATTTTCGGCCACTTATTTCATCGGAGGAGGTGAATCCATGCGTGCTAAGTGGATGGAAAACTACATCACTGTTCTAGAGAGTGAAGATTCACCTCGTCTCGGTGAAATAAGTTGCCAGAAATTTCCATTTATGACACGCGTTGCACCTAACACCATACTTGGTGGTGTTTTGGCTACTACGCAAATTTCAGGGTGCTCGGTGCACCTAAGCCATACTTCATGGTGTTGCGGCCAATTTTGCCTAAAATAAATTCAAAACAACATTCTAATCAATTCATAAATATTGATTTGATGAGTTTGTAGAACTTTTGATAAGACTAAATAATAAAATAATGGTAAACATGAGCATGAGAAAAGATGGAAAACTTTACCTGAATTTGGCCACCATGTCCACTGACCGTATCTATCATTTTTATATAGGACCCTTCTTCCACTGGTTCATAAACCTAGTATAATACACAAAATGGTGCTACTCTTAACTTTATATACACGATTCACATCAGAATTATCAGAAATACAATGCAATTTTGTCATTACCTTTTCGTAATTATCCAGTCGACGTTTGAAGTCTCTATATCCAGCTTCAAAATCTGGCCTGATTATATCACAAAAATTAGTATTTTTGAAATTCCAAGAAATGGCAAAGTTACAGCAGAGAGAAAATGCATACTGCTCTGCATAATCTGGGCTCTGTTGGACCTTAAGGCGTATGTTTCTCTCAATAATTTTTTCATCATAACATAAGGTCTCCAAAAATATAATCTGAAAGAGGTAGATAAAAGAATAATCAATAACAGATATAAGAGGCGTAAGGTGATAAATACCAATTGTCACGGTCCGGGAGTTTGGAACCCGAAACGTGCGGTGCGCTCTAGCCTTTTGGCAGCAAGAATGCTACCCTTGAGCGAAAGAGGGGCTTGTGAGCACAAAGCAACACAAGCGGGAAATTAAATCACAGGAACACTCACGTCTATTTGGGCGACGGAGTGCGGGTGGTCGAGGGCCTGTGACAGCCGATACTTCAAGGCGGGCACAAGCGGGTCCGAACCACGAGTTCTTAGTGCATTAAGTTGGTTTGGAGGGGAGCTATTATGCAAGTAAGACACAATATCTATAAAGGTCTAACAACAAACAAGCATTAAAGCAAGGCAACACTTGGAAGAAGGCTTTTTATAATTTGGCACAGTTGCTAACAGTTACTCCGTCAGTTTCATAGGCAATCTGATGCTGTAATTGAACAGAAGGTACCAAGTGATTTTGAAGGTATAGCGTATCCTTGTCAAGGTTTCAAGTTCCAGTTTTTTAGGTTTTATATTGGATGATGTATCTTGATTTGTCAGATAAATTGCTTCATGATAGTTCAAGTGCATGAGTTACTTTTACCTTAGCCTTCCTTATGTAAATGGATGGCACACCTTAAAGGCCTTTTTAATACACTTCTTAACTAATCGCCAAAAAAGGCACTCCTTCCATCGAGCATTGACCCACTCACCATGAAGAAAACAGTCACAAAAATAACTAGTCAAAGTAGTCACTGTTTTGCATAAAATATCCTAACCAAATTCCTATATACTTTTCGGTCCTAATGCCACACATTGACCTTGCATAGTTATCGTATACAACCCGGTCACCTGCTATTGATGTCAAAAATTTAGACAAATAATTCTAAGGATATATAGAACCCTGTTTTAAGTTCCAATGATTTTAATGGATATCAATCTTAGGACAAAGGGTATTGATCAAAGTTGGTTAAACAAAGTTGGAATTTTTTGGCAAAGGGTATTGATCAATTTCAGACAGAAGTACTTTCCATGATTTAGTGGGTGCTACTAGCAGAATAACACGATATTCTTGGCTGCATCAACCAAAAAGAATAAAATATTTCACTTAAATTCATCCCTCTTACAGAATTATATCATTCTGAAATGCAACAATGGGATGACCAGGATCTAGTTTCCAATAACAGAGTTTTTAAATGATGCTAATAATTAATATTATGTTTCATTTAGGTATTGTTATAATATATCATTTACTTAGCAGAACATGCATATTTTTTTATAGATAGATAACACTGCTAGATGATAAATATACATGATTTGATTGACAAACATATGTGAAGGTATAGAGTAATAATAATCATATTTCATATTTGATCCTCAATATCTATATAAAGTCATCAGTGGCACAAAGTTTTAGGAGATTATTTAGATAATAGTATAATACTATGAAAGTGGGGCTAGTGGATGAATAATATATTCTGATAAAAGGGGTCCATAAGTTGCAGAAAAAATAAATAAATAAATAAAAAATTAAAGCCCAAGGGACGAGGGAGAAATAATAAACAAAATGTAATGGACTGTAAAAGTTTACCGTGTATAGAAGTGATGCAATTAGTCTGAAATGGCTGAATTTGGCATGTGATGCATATATATAATAATACAGGGAATAGAAGTATACCAAAATGGATAAAAAAATAAATAAATAATAAAAATTTAAAAAAAAAAAAGGTCTAGATTTAGGAGATGCCAGATAGCGCATGCAAAACACATCAAAGTGATCAAATAGACATCACAACACATCTAGCACATGCAACTAGATCTTTACATGTAAATACTTTTTGAGGGATTCAACTAGATTTATATGAGCCATATAAATCATTGTGGCAACAGAAACAGAACAAACTAAGCAAAATGCTAAGCTTCCTGGAGATGCAATGAAATAACTTAAGTATGTCAACCTGATCTAAAACAGTTGAAAACAACATATAACAAAACCAATCTTAGCAACCACAGGTAGAGTTCAATTGACAGCATTTAAGCATTGAAAAGAAATTGATATTATAATACCTTGCAATTTCCTTCAGCCAGTTTCATCAACATATTTCTTCTTCCTCTGGTGCTGTTAGTAGCATCAAATATACCTACCTAAATGAAATATTAATGAATAGATCAAAATAGAAAACAAGAGATACAACTATCCCCTACCAAATAATCACAGTTTAACATAGACACGCACTTGGCCGCCTTCTTGCATCCAGGATATCATATCTTCCATTGCAAGGGCAGCAACCTATTAGCAAAGGCAAAAGATATAGATTAAATTAGTACAGAATCTAGCTTCTAACTCAGTCACATTGCAGTTAAAAATACAAAAATCTTAACTTTTAAGTCGCTTATATGACAGTTTTAAATAAGGAACTAAGGATCACGCCTGTAAGTTCTACTGTTCGGAATTAACAAAATGAAGCGGTTTAAAATATTAGGTATCTTCCAAATTAAACCTGGTCTATACAGACATGTATGATAATGAATAAAAGCATCATCGATAAGACTAGGAGGGTAGGGGCAGGAAGGTTAACCCTTTTGTTTCTAGGTAGGCATTATCAACTATCTAAGGGGGCGGAAAAAGTTAGTATCACATCAATTTTGGGGTTATAGGTTATATGCAAAAGAAACATTTGCATACTCATTTTTTACTCAATGTTAACCATAAAGCATGAATAGAGGTTGATATTGTAATAAAAATTCTTCCACTTCTGCCATCACTTAAGAAACTCAAAAAAGTGAAACTGCACATGATCATTAACTCCTTTTCCCTTCTCAAAGTTCCCATTTTTCTTTTCCCCATCATAATTTAGTTCCTAACTTTACAAATAAGAGAGTACGTATAATATACTCTATCGACTTTCATCATGGTGATTTGTCCCTCAAAATGATTGCTTCACTGTATTCAGCTTTTAACTAATTTGGTGAAGCAATGCTACAAGTATCTACTATGGAGGTCAATTAAATTTTAATCATTTCTACTTGAAGTCTAAAGATGAATTGCCAGCAATTGAGCTTCAGAACAACACCAATACCATGCCATAGAGCCTAACATTATCTAGGTTGAGCAACCTATTTGTATTTTTGACACTTCTTCAAACATCATAAAATTCAGCCATGAGGTTCATTTCTTATTCGAGAAGAAAGAAATTCCATGTTGGATCTTAGTAGCCTTTACCCCTCTCTTCTTCTCATCTTTTTTTTCTGAATTAATAGAAATAAATCATTTATGAGCTGTAATTATACAATTTCCAGGTTTAAATAAAGTAGAAGTGCAATTGTAAGGAAAAGGTCAAAGGGAAACAAAAGAGCAAGATTATTCAAGTAAAGCTCGTATTTGTGGTTTCTAGAGTTTCCACTATTTTGTATATTAACCCTACCCTGTCCTCTTCCATATGCCTTTCAACTTTCAGCCTCCCAAAAAATAGGAAAAAGAAGAGAAATGCAGAGCAGTGTTGGGTTAAGGCAGCTGGGACATTAAGATTTACCAACTACAAAGGAACATGTGAATACTTCTGTGTTTTACAATGCCTCCTTGTCACTTGATTGCATCATATAATCTTTCTTTCAGAAATTAGAACCAAATTGACTTATATTTTATGAGACATTCTTCATCTAGTACTCTCTTAATCAAGCTGATGTAAAGTGGTTGAATATCAGGTTTAGGAATGCCCCTGCTATCAGCCATAATTGTGAATCAGGATTAAGACAAACTAATAAATAATTTAACACAATCAAACATAGCAAATCTAAACATATACACCTCAGTTGGAATTCTTCCAAAAATGATTTACCTCATTTCGTGCCTCTATGCCCTCAGTATTGTCACCTCTAAAAAACTCAGCAGACTGCAACAGAGGATGCAAAATCATTCAAGCCAAACATAAAGAAAGTGAGGAAATGTTCCACATATATAATCCCATGGAGGATCAAACCAGTTTATTAAGACAAATATGAATCCAAGAACCACGCTTTACCTGATTAGTTCCAAGCTTCAAGCGCCTATACTGTTCAGAAAAGAAAATTCATGAGTCTCCATGCCTTTGTCCATATAGACTAAGGAGAACAAATAAAGAGATCAGGAAAAGAATAGTCACCTTCCCCACATTAAAGTGCTTGGTATCATGGCCTAACCACCTAAGATATCTTGTCAATTTAGCAGCAGTGAAGGTCTTGCCTCGAGCAGGCAAACCAACCTTTATGATAGAGAAAGAACGGAAACATATAAGGGGAGAAAGAGAGAGAAACAGGGGGAGGGAGGGGGGGACTGGGTAAGGGAAAGAAAACAATGCTCAATCCTATCTTTACTTTAGGCATAAGGAAAGCTAGAGCATAGTATTCACGTAAAGCTTACCAGCACAATTGCTAAATGTCTATCTTCCTTTGGGCCAAGCATCTGATCAGCTACAGCTGCTGCAGCTACTGCTCCGGCAGCTGCCGGCATTGCAGTCTTAAATGAATGAAGGAAGATATAAATAAAACATCCAGTCAAGAAAAAAGAAACTCCTCAATACAAGTTCATTTGAAGAAAAGTTGCAAAACCTTGTTTTCTGAACCAGGTTTCATATCATCAACAAAAGTACCAGCACTAGCTGATTTGACTAGTCTAGGAGACCCCACCCCTCTATCCACAAAAAGTCCCTTAGGAGATTCCTGTTTCTGCAAAGGTGAAGTAGTCATCGCTGGTTTTTCTTCCACCACAGCAGTTGTGCACACTTTAGCAGGATCTTGCAGTCCTACCTCTATGTCCTGCATAAATATAGCCAAAGTACTTTAAACCTAGAAAACAAAAGATAGAAACACTGAAATCAGTTATGTGAGAAAAGTAATAACATCTTAATGTGAGACACAAGAGATGAAAAAACTACAATGAAAAATTATACAGACTAACAACTGATGCTAGTAGGGTTTTAGTCTTCCTATCTAAGGCGGGTGGTTTTGTATGTATGCAGCTTAACCAAAAAAGGCTGGTCCCCAAGAGATCCTTGACTACTGAGGCAATCGACTAAGCTACTCCAATAGCGTACTAGACCACAATCAAATGCCTTTAAAAATGTTCCCTCCTAGGACTGGACAAGGGGCCAGACGTACACAACCTTACTAGCTAGTACTTTAACCTATGTTACTCGGACCGTTCATTTCACCTCAAGTACCCGTGTTGCATCCTTGACACTTAGACATAGGAAGGGCACTTGGAGTCTTGGACATAGGAAGGACACTTGCACACTTCATTTTTAGTTTAAAATTAAGGAAAAAATTCACAAAATAGCCGAGTCAGACACTTGGACACTTACATGTGTCAAACATGGGTTCCCAAGTCTGAATAACATAGATTACTAGTACAATTGCAAAGAAAGTCATGCAGCTTTGCACTTGGAACTGACAGACCCATTTCAAGCCAACTAAGAATTTATGAGTAGATAAAATCAGAGATTGAAACACATGCTCAATCTGAAATTTAAGCAACAAGAACTTTACAAATTGTGGGGTTTGCTACCTATGAAAATCAATATTAACTCTAGCCCAGTTCTTGGGGTTGAAAATTAAGATACATCCCAAGCATAATCATTATCTAAGATCTGTATACAAATAGCATCAATATTCATATTAAAGTTCTGGTTTTGCAACTTTTACTTCAAATTCCTTCAATAAGATAGACTTGTCAGGTACAATTTCTAAGGGACTGATTATCCCTCAAGTTAGTAGTTTTAACTCACTTTTTGCATTTACCTCAAATAAATAAGTCATATAAGCCTTTTACTCTAGGACATTTAAGAATTGATAATTTCATTAATTACACGTAACACTTGAAAACAAATAGCAAACCTCATTAACTGTAGGCTCGCTTGGCCGACTGCCAGTATCACCAGTTTTTGAGAATTGTGAAGAAGTTCCAGAGCTAAGTTTGCTAGCAGCTATGTACCTGGGCGTTTCTGCCTTATTAGCTGGATACACTGCAGATGTTTCAGGAGATGGAACAACATAATGTTCAAGATCAAGCTCCAAAGTAGTAGAAGACCCACTCTGCATTTAGAGAAAAGGAGATGAAAAACAGAAAAAGCAAAAAAAACAAAAAAAACGTTATACTATCTACCAATCACATGGAATTTATTTTTAAAACCCTATTAAGAGATATCTTTAAACAATGTGTTCAGAAAAACTCGTCTGCAATTTAAGCATAAACAGCTAGCGAAAATGTCCTTACCAAATAATAGCATGATGTAAACAAGATAATGCTGGAGAATATTGGTGCAACTGTGCAAGATAATGTATTTCCTAAACAAATATAATGTAGGCACCATGTAAATAATCAATTGCCAAGCTTGAATGAAGGAAGTTTGAAATTTGAAAAAATATATACATAGGAAAATTTGTCAAAATAAGCCACCTTTGTGCATTAAGCTCAAAATAAGCCAACCCCTAGATTAACTAAGAATAAGTCGACTTTTATAGGATATCTTCCAAAAATGACTCAAAACATATTGAGTTGGGAGGTAACCTGTTATTTAGGAAACTTATGCCACCTGTTGTTGACTTATTTTGATATATAATGTCTTCATTTCAATAAAGAATAACCAACAACTATATATATCTAACAAAATCAAACCTAAGTTGATATGCTTCATATATTAAGCAATAAAAATCATTACATTCACAGGAAAGTTTTACATGCCCCAACAATCTTAACAAACCACAAAAGACCTTGAATTACATTGTACCTCAATGCCTGTCTTTGCATTAATGCTAACATCAGGAATTCCACGAACAGCAGAAGAGTGAATGTTCTTCTGGTAAGCTCTCCAACTCGATGCGAGATCAAAAGGCGAAACTCTATCAGCATTAATACAAACCCGATACTCTAAAACAGCATCAGCATTCAACCTAAACAATGCAGCCCTTGCATCTCCCTCCAACCTACCTCCAGATAGTATCCTGTTCGGACCTTCCTCGATTATACACGGATTATTACTATCTTTCGGCCTCAATAAAAACTTGAAATCCAATGTTTCTACATTTTCCAACAACACACAATCAATCATCACTCAATCAAAACCCCTTAATCCCTTATAACTAATATCAATTCAAAAGCATTCATTCATCTATCCATTATAATCCAAAATACACAAATAAATCATCACAATAAACTTCATTTCATCATAAACTCAAATTACCATGATTAGGAGGAACAACAAAGCTCAATTCCCAAATTGAAGTCGATTCACGCTCCAATGGCAGCTAAAACCAAACAATCAAAAACAACATATTAACTCCCACAAAATCAAAAATCAACAACAAATTCATCAATCAAAATAGAAATAATAATCATTTTTTTACAGCTTTAGAAGAATCCCAAGAACCAACTAAAGGAGCAGAACCAAAAATATGAGGAAGAAGGTCGCCATTGAGAATATAATTCTCCATTTTAAGAGAAACATAGAGTTGTCCACCATTAGCTTGATCATCGTTTCCGCCATGAGAGCAGCTATCGGAGTTCGTCGAAGTTCCCGCCCCCATTTTTCTCTCTCCTAAAAGCTCAAAGGTTTTTTATTTCTATCTTACTTTGTTTTTGTGAGTGTTTTTGGTTCGCTCCTTTTTATTTTATTTTTCCCTAATTTTATTGTTTTTTACCTCTATTGTTATTTTTATTTTATTTTTCTTAAGGCAACTATTGTTTTTTGTTTGAAATGGTTTAATAAAGACGGCTAAGATCTTCCGAGTCACTAGAATTTAGAGGAATTTTGTGTTTTTTTATGTGTGGATTTGGTTGGAGGGTTGAAAAAATTAGTGTCCATTTTTTTTTTTCCAAATTGATAAGGCTTTGGAAATGAGGTTGAGATATTGAGACGGATAGGAGGGTCGATAAAATTCAAGAATTAACTTGATTCTGCTTTATTTTCCAATTAGTTTTAGAACTGTGTAATGCATGGTTCTAAACTTAATTCTGTTTTATTATCAAACTAACTTTTTTTTTAAACCAGAAGTAAGCCTTTCATTGATTAATAGACGAACTGTCCATAAGTACACAATCAAAAACAGCGGGAGCAATGACTTTCCCAAACTTGTTTGCTCCAAAAGTACTGAGCTTGCAAGGTGATGAGCAACTATATTGTCATGATGACATCCATTTTAACATGGGATAAAGAAATAAGCTAAAAGTTATAACTAATAGCAAGAACATCATCCAGAGTGGACTCCATATCAATCAAGACAGTAACAGAGTTGGAAAGACGAGAGATCACCACTTGGCTATCAGATTAAAAAATTCAATTATCACACGATTATCGCCATACTTCTATAGAGGTACAGGACATTGTAATTTGGTTTATTATTAATGCCCTGGAATTCTGTCACAAGAGTGACATCGTAGTGTCAATTAGGGTAGCTCCCTAATTGGAAGCCCGTTATTTTAAAAGGGCTATTTAAAGAATGAAATTCGTTCAATGGGTAATTCAAAGCTATTATTTATAATTAATATTGCTAGTCATGAGTCATAGGTAAGTTGACTTGTGTTAGGGGTGAGCGAAAATTCTAGGTACCCGGAATTGGAACCAGTTAGGAACTAGCGGGTCCAAAATCGGAATTGGACCCGATGGTTCCAATTTCGGGTAATAAATTAATGACCCGGTTATAACTAATCCAATTCCAATTCTCAACTTTTTGTAACCGGAACCGGTTGGGTACCCGGTTACCTAATATATACTAAACTAAATAAATTTTAAATAATAAAAATGTGTTGAATGTATCTAATTTGTAAATTAAGAAAGTATTATTAATACCCAACATAAATACAAATAGCTTAATGCATATATAATATAAGTATTAAACGCTAAAAATGAGCTTAACTAAAATAAGAATTATAATTTGTATTATATTTTAACAATTTCATACATAAGTGGGTACTCGGAATCAGAACCGGTACCCGGTGGTTCCAATACCAATTCCTAAATTTTATGACCCTGTTGAACCAATTCCAATTCCGAATCCGAATTTTAGGACCCGATTCCAACCAATTCCAAGTCCGGGTCCTAAAATTTTGACCGGGTAACCGTTTTGCTCACCCCTAACTTGTGTTGTGTGGAGAGCATGTTTTGTTTATTTATTTATTGTTAGGATATGGTGCATATGTACTCAGATTTTGCTGATTCGTACTTTGTTGTTTGTGTTTGGTTTTTCTTTGTATTGGCCTACTATGACCCATTTTATATGGTAAGTAGTGAGGTTGAACTAAAGAGGAGTACATGTAGGAAGAGCATATCAAGCATGATGGGATTGAGCGAATAGGGTTATATGTTTCATTGTTTTGTTTCTTATTATATTTGATTATTTATGTAATTGTTGACACTAACATATAATCATTGTATTAATATTTTAGTTTGGTTTTAAAGGGGCTTGTAATGGTTCCAAGTTATTGGTTTAATGTTAGTTGGGTTTATTAAACTTTATTTTATTTGAGATTTCGAAAGTTAGTCTTCCACTGTGTGACTTTGAAATAGTTTTAGCCGTGGCGGTAATATTTTGGTTATTTTTGAAGTTTAGGTTTTATTTTGGAAATTTTGTCAAAAACCTCCTTATAACTTTTTTTTGTGAAATCATACCTTAATCAATTTTTTTTTTACAAAATCATACCATTAGACGGAAAACGGGGTTTGACCCCGTTTTCAGGCGTTGACCACCCACGTGTTCAATGGAAAACCACCCAAACCCACCAGTCTACCACCACCTCCTGCCAGCGTCTAAGGTTCCTTGTCCCCCCCCCGCCGGCGACGCTATCCCAGCGCCAGAACCCCGTCGACGACCCTCACTCTCCTTCCTCTTATCACCACAACCAGAACCCTCCTAACACGGTGGCTATCTTCGCGCAACCACATCACCGCCACCTGCTCCACCGCACCACTTATCTCCGCGCAAGCACAACAACATCAATCCCCAGCAGCCTCCATCTCCACCACTGCAACACCGCACCAATTGCAACCCCAATTCGCACCAATTAAGCCCCCAAAATCCCTAGCAGCCTTCATCTCCACCGCCTAGGGTATTGTCGCCGCGAAGGGAGTGGTTGGGCCGGTGGGGTTAGGCGAGTTGCGAGGGTCTGGCTGGCTCAAATTGGTGGCGATTGGAGGTGGTGCGTGCGGTAGTCGATTCTGCGGCTGTTGTTGGTGTCGATTGGTGGGGTTGTTGGTGTTTGCGTGGGTGTTGTGGGGGTGGGCGTGGTGGCTGGTCTTTGGTGTTGGGTTAATTTTGGGAAAATTTTGGTGGTGGATGGTCTTTGGTGGTGGGTTAATTTTAGTGGTGGTTTTCCATTAAACATGTTGGTGGTCAATGCTTGAAAATGTTTTCCGTCATAAGGTATGATTTTGTAAAAAAAAAAAATTGATTAAGGTATGATTTGACAAAAAAAAAATTATAAGGAGGTTTTTTACAAAAAAAAAATGCTTTTAAAAGGAGGTTTTTGACAAAATTTCCTTTTATTTTAGAGAAAAAGGGTGTTTTTAAAAGAAGGAAATTTCAAATGTATTACACGAGCTATCGCTCATTAGCACGTGAGCTCTCGCTCGCCCTTGCCATAAGCTGACCAAGCATCCGAGCACCTGACAAAGGAATAGTTGTGCCGTCAAACAACTACACCTAAATCAAATACAATTTATAACACTCGACTCAACCTATTACAAATATAGGGTAAGTAGAGGGGTCGAACCACAGGGAGAAAATGCATAAACACCGCATTCATTACCTAGAGTCTAAGCTATCTCGGAACAAGAAGTGTGAATAACTAAGAGATTAAACTAAGAACGAAATGGATTAAAATTAATATAACTAAGAACCAAGGGAAATTGGTAGATGTAGATGTCGTTTGATCATGCAATAACAAAGTAGCAAATCAATGGTAAACTAAACATGCATGAATATCGAAGTAAGGCCCAATCTAACTGCCTTCCGGGGTTAATCGGTTTCTCCTAAAATAGCCTCTATGTTTCCACACTAGAACCATATATTAGAAGGTGCAATCAAAGAACTATCGATAGTAATGAATCTCAACTAAGTTAACTTCCGTTACTTGTTAGCAAAGACTCACCTTTAATCAACTAACAATGTGCACTTGCAAGAAGATCAAAGAATATCAAGTATGCAAAGACTTTAATCACCATTAACATAACCCCGACATTATAAGCATGAACAATTAGCAACTACACCATCCCCACACCCTTGGCTAGGTGACTACTCACAAATCATATTGAAAACAATATCAATCATCAAATCAATAAGCATCAACATGATTAATAAGCAAAGAAGAAAAATCAAAGCAAATAAGCAAAATAAAAAACAAAGGTAAAGAGAAAGAGTAAGAGATTGCTCATTAATTGAAGATGAAGGTCTACAAAGGATTGAACAAACTCCTTCTTCAAAATCCAAGTTCATCAATGAAGAAAACCACACTTTCTCTCTCTACCAATGAAGACTAATAGTGTTTCTCTCTCTAGATTAAGCTAAAAGTGTCGAAAATTGAAACTAAGTTAATCTAATTACATCAAAACGTTCTAAGATGGGACTTATATAGTCTGTACAGAGCTAGCTGAGAAAAGGAGGGGTCCGACCGAACAATGGGAAGGTTCGGCCGGACTACAGGGTAGGTTCGGCCGAACCATGGGTAGGTTCGGTCGAACCTCAGATCCTGGTCTGGTCGAACTTCTATGGTTCGACCACTCCTGCAAAATTGCCAAATTGCATCTTGTCCCTGCCTCGACGTTCGGCCGAACCACTGAGCAGGTTCGACCACACCTTGGTTCGGTCACACCTTCAGTAGGTTCGGCCGAACCTCTTCTGAATCATACTTCCTCCAGCTTCCCTTGAGCTTAGCTTCCTCCTCTTGAAAATCCCGATGGTTCCTACAAAGCATAAGCATGAAAATCACAATAAAAACAAATCAAGAAAACTAAGAAAAGGGAAGATAAAGGAGAAAGAAAAGAGGAAGCAAAACTAAGTAAAAATGCTTAGAAAAAGGGCCAAACAAGTGCAAATGAGGGGAGAATCCTTAGAGAAAAAGGATAAAAGAGTGGCATAAATGCCACTCATCAGCACCATTCGTGCTATCATTCGCTCACACATGAGCTATAGCTCGGCCTTGCCGTAACTCATTTGCCTTGCGAGCTATAGCTCTCTCGCTACCTCAGCTTGTGTAGGTTACCTGCCTGGCGATCTATAGCTCTCTTGTTGCTCGTTACATACAATATCGCTAGTGGTTAACAACACTAACTAAGAAACACTTCGATTTGAATTACAAGTATTATTACTCCAACAAGGCCAACCACTCGAACCCCACCAAATAGGACTTCACCCTCACCATTCCTCGCGACTACTCCAAGCCTGTCCAGCCATTGTCTTTGAGGCTTGCATCATAATTAATTTTGATGAAGCTTGTAGAAAGAGGGATTTAACTATCGTCTTTGAGCCTATACTTATGTACATATGACACAACTTACAATAAGATGTCGAGTTATTGGCGAATCGGACATTATACAATATATAAGAAAGGACGAATTTAAAGGTCATAAAATTTTGTGTTCAATAATATAACTTTCTATATTTATAAATCAA